ATATTACAAAAGTTATTACACTATAAAGGCTTTAGTACCACTGCTTACAATTTGCATTCTCATGACCTATTGCTCTTCAGGAACTCCTTTGTGAGAGACACATTGAGCTCACGTTCATGTGGTGACTGAAGGCTAGTCTATACCTGAAACACTACAGTGCCCCAGCTGTGCAGCTTTTGTGCTTCAGGATAGCCACTCAATACAGAGATAGGAGGGGTTCTCCCATCACTGTAGTTAATCCACCACCCCAACAGGCGGTAGCTAGATCGACAGAGGGAAGAAGTCTTCCATCACCCTAGCACTGTCTACACCGCGGGTTAGGTCAGCATAGCTACATCTTTGAGGGGCGTGGATTTTTCACACTCCTAAAAGACATAGCTATGCCAATATAAGTTTTCAGTGTACACCTTCCCTTAGAGTACATGTGCTGCAGTACATGTGCTGCAGAAGGAAGACCAGGCATTCTGGTCTGTACATGTACCAGACACACAATGGCAAGAGCAAGGAGGGGGATAAGAACACCACGGTGACGGGTTGGACCCCCGTGTCCGGGATGCCACCTGATGTACTGGTGTTTCACTGACACTCTCCTGCTCCACCAACCTGGCTTCCCTCTCCCTGTTTTGCTGAATTAGGCTCTCCAGCCTCTTGGATTGCGCGCGCGCGCGCACACACACACACACACACACACACACACACACACACACACACACAGATTGAAGCCAGCTCTGAGAGAGAGAGAGGACTCACCCAGCACTCATGTGTACACCCCTTTTGGGAAATAAACCCAAAATAATACTGTCTTGCGCTATAGAGAAATCTGTACAACATAAACTCATAAATTCGCCCCCTTCCTCAATGTGAAGAGTGATATGCATGACTTCTTGCCCCTCCCGTTAGAAATTACACAAACTGGGTTTAATAATAAACAAAACAGATTTTATTAACTATAAAAGGCAGATTTTAAGTGGTTAAAGAGATAGTAATCTGCTTTGTTCTGTTTGCTAAGCAAATAAAACAAAACACGCAAACTAAGCTTGATTCACTAAAGAAATTGGCTACGAATAGTAATTTCTCAGCCTAAATATTGTCACAGGCAGATTACAGAGAGTCTTGAAAGGCAACTGCACTGGCCTGCAACTTGAGACTTTAGGTATTATTACTCACAAGCCAGGCGCCCTTACAGCTTGGGATCAACTTTTCTCCCCCCAGTTCAGTTCTTGCTTCCAGGTGTTTTTCAGTGTTTCTTTGGGTGGGGAGGCAGAGAAGAACCACGATGATTTCACTCCCCTGTCTTATATAGCTCTTGTGTATGGCGGGAACCCTTTGTCTACCAGTTGAAAAATACTGACATTCCGGGGGTAGGAGGCAGTACCACATGACTCAGACCCATGTCTCTGCAGGACTGTGGCAGCCATTACTTGTAGGCTGTCTGGAGCATCCAGAGGACAACTAAGCCCTTTCACAGTCCATTGTCTCTGCTGATGGGCCATCAGCCCTGTCTGGCTTTTCACTGTTGTACCTGAAGGGCTAGTTGTGGATGACACCCAAAGTAGCACATTTGAAATACAGATATATGGTCAATATTTCTAACTTCAGATACAGAAATGATACAGGCATACAAATTGGATAATTACATTCGGTAAATCATAACCTTTCCAATGATAACTCACATGAGCCATCTTGCATAAAGTATATCTCAGTTATAGCTCATCCATATCATAAGCATTATTTTCATAAAGAATATGGAGTGTAACATCACAATCACTTGAGATGAATGGAATAGTTCACACCTCTCAGAGCTGTATTCATCTAAAAGGGTGTTCTCATGCTGTTGAAAATTCACCCACTTCACCCTTCAACACAGGAGGCTTGCGGGAAAGTCCCTTCCCCCTATAAATGGAATAGACACTTTGGAGAGCCTGTTGCTACCTCAAGCTAGCGAGTAGCAACGACGTACACACAGGAAGCCCCTCAATCACACCCTCACTATCACCAGTTCCTCAAAAAGACAAGGGAAATTCACTGCCAAAAAACAGTGTTAATACAGAGTTAATGAAGCCTACCACTGCCTTGCGCCTTGCAGAATATGAGGCTGGTTAAACTTGAAAGCTCTGAAAACCAGGCAATAGAGAGTTACGGTACTCTCCTATTCTGCCCTCTCCAAGCAATGCCCCAACCCATCAGTCAGAGATCACACAACTGTGCTATTCCCAAACATGTAGAAGACAGTGGGGAAAATGCACAAGAGTGGGGAATGAGGGGCAAAGAAAAAAACGGTTACTCGCCTTCTCATAACGGTTGTTCTTCGAGATGTGTTGTGCATGTCCATTCTAACCAGGTGTGTGTCCGTCGCGTGCACACCAGCCGGAAGATTTTTCCCTTGGCAGCGTCCATAGGGTCGGCCTGGGCGCACCCTGGAGTCGCGCCTTCATGGCACACAATATAGGTCCCTGCCGACCCTCCACCCTCTCAGTTCCTTCTTGCCGGCTACTCCGACAGAGGGGTAGGATGGTGGGTATTGGAATGGACATGAACAACAGTTTCCTGGGTTGTTTTATTTCCCTTTTTATAGATGGGCACTATATTTGCCCTTTTCCAGTCTTCTGGAATCTCTCCCGTCTCCCACACGCCTCAAGCTATTATCTTTGGAAAATCATGGGAGACGGGAGAGATTCCAGAAGACTGGAAAAGGGCAAATATAGTGCCCATCTACAAAAAGGGAGATAAAAACAACCCAGGAAACTACAAACCAGTTAGTTTAACTTCTTGCATGGTGTCAAGTATCAGGGGGTAGCCGTGTTAGTCTGAATCTACAAAAACAAGGAGGAGTCTGGTGACACCTTAAAAACTAACAGATTTATTTGGGCATAAGCTTTCGTGGGTAAAAAACCTCACTTCTTCAGATGAAGATGCA